CTCACCTCAGCCTCCCAAAGGCACAGGATTACAGGCTGAGCCACCGAGCCCGGCTTCCTCTGAGTTCTTAATTGGACATGATGTCAGTGATGCCAGGGCCATGGTAGCAGGGAAGGGTTGGAATTGCATGCCCTCTGGGTTTTTACTCTTCCAATTTTTGTTCAGGACTATACAGGAGGTGCCAAAAAAACGTATACACATTTTAAGTGATGTTATCTATGTATTACTTTTTGAAGTTGAATGAAATTAGGGTAGCAATGTGTAGTATGATATTCACTCAATCGTGCTTCCACCATTTTATTTGACTGTTGCCTGTGGCATGGTGACACTAGAGTTCATTTGATCAACACCATCTTTTGAGTGAACATCGTACTTAAAATGTATATACATTTTTGCCACTCCCCCCCACCCCTGGTATATCTCTGCAAACCTCCTTCCCCCATGGCCTAAGTAGCTGCTAGTTGATATCATCATTGATTTGGTCTTCTTAGGTAAGATCTCAGTGAGTTCCAGGTAATTTTTTGTTTGAGGATGAACATGGTCATCTTTTCCCTTTTGTAGACTAATCTTTAGCCATCCAAACCCACCCAGTTTCCTGCAGGTAAGAGTCAGGGAGGACACTGTAACCATCCACCTATGAAGAAAATGTTTCTTTTATTCTTTGCTAGGCTCCATGCACACAGGGGTTGGGAACAGAAGGAATATTTGTTTTTTTATTTCCTTTTTACTAATCTCTTAGAGCCTTGGTTCTTCAGAAAAGAAACTAATGAAGGGCTTAGGAATCAACTGGGCTGGGACAGAGGAGAAAGGTGTCAGAGCAGTGCTGGAGTAAGATGGGATGTAGGAAGGACGGGAACAGCAGAGATAGGGGCTCCAGTGCTGGCTCCAACACTTGCCCTTTTCTTCCTTCTCTGCCCCTGACCCTAATTGCCCCTATGAGGACACAGTGCCTGAGGAGCTGGAGGAGGAGGGCACACCCAGCTTGCCTCTAACCCCATAAATCGACATCACTTTTCTATTTTCCTGGCTCTTAAGCTTCCCAGGGTTGGTTCAGCATCTCAAAACCCATGTCTGCATCCCCAGGGTCTAGCCCAGACTTTGTCCAGAACAGACATTAGCATATATTTATAAAGGATATCCCGAAGAAGAATAGTCATACTGTCATCTAGCTTGGAGTTTTTGAAGTCCTTCCTAGACAGGACCTCAGTCGCCCTCCCTTGGATGTCCCCAGGGTTAGGCGGGGCCGAAGCCACTATCTCCATCCTAGACAAGAGGAAAGCCATCAGCCGCACAGCTGTTAGCTAGCAACAGTTCACTTCCCCACATCTCCCCGCCGAAGGTCGAACCCCTATCTCCGACGGCCTTTCGCGCAGAGCCTGCCGGGAGTTGTAGTCCAGTGCCCCGTCAGCTCACACGGACTGGACTACAAGGACCAGCGTGCCCCGCGCTCTGCGCCCCCTTCTCTTTCTGCCTCGGGTCGGGGGAGGCTCGGAGGGCTTCCAGACTGGGAACTGATATGGCGGCGACTCTGGGCAGCGGGGAGCGCTGGACGGAAGGTACCAGGTCCGGGCCGGAGGATGGGACAGGGCGACTTTCGGGAGAGAACAGGGAAGGAGCATAAGACCTGAGATCCTGGGCCGGAGGTGAAAGATGGAGGCCTGTGAGAGGATGCTAAGCCCGAGCGGGGCTCCGGATGGGGTGGGGGCCGGGATCCGGAAGCTGGGGACCTGGCCGGGAGCCCAGGGTCACCGGTGACGACTTGTTGCCTCCGGCCCCCAACCCCGCCCTCGCCGTGCCCCGCCCAGGGCCCGCAGTGGTCAGGCCCCGCCCGTGCCTGTGTGACTCGAGGGCCCGCGGGATGCCGCGGTCTCCCGCAGCTTGCTTACCTGGCCCTTATCCTCCGCCTGACTGGGCCAGCTGACCTCCCGTCCTGGTTTGATCTTGTCCCTCCAGCCTGCATCAGGACCGGTAGGCCAGTCTTTTGTACCTTGCAGTCAGGCAAAAAGTATTGATCCAGTAACTGTTAAGTGCCCTGCATGGTGCTGATTCGGCAGCTGGGATTTAACGGACATGGGCCCCTTAGCTCACAGAACTCTCAGTCCGCTGAGAGAGTTTGACAGGTAAATAGCCAATTACAAAACGGGTCAATACGTCCTGGGCTGCACAGCAAGGTCGAGGACTTGGGGAGACACTGGCAAGACACCCAACACAGCCTGGGTGTCAAGGGAGGCTTCATGGAGAAAGTGTTACGTGTGATGACACGAAGGATGCATTGGAGTCAGCCAGGCAGACTTAGAGGAATGGTGTCAAGGGGCAGTGGGTACTCACCGAGGGATGTAAAGCAGAAGAAAGATGTTTTTAAAGCCTTCTCCAGATCCTCCAGACTAGACATGAGTGCTCCGCCCCTTCTGACTGGATTGTTATGACCCTTTTCACATTCTGCAGGCCTTATGATTTATTGTGTCCTCTCATCAAACTGTAACCTCTTTGTTTTCAGGAGTAGGTCTTACCTACCTATCCGATCCCTGATCTCTCTAGCCAAGTGTCTTGGTACATGTTAGCTCTGTAACTGTTAGTTTAAAGAACTGAATTCTTCTCCATTTTAAATCTTAGGGGTGGGAGGCATTGCAATAAAAAATATTATTTTTTGAGCAATGTCACTTCTGACCATGGACCACAGAGGTATGGTCATACCACAGAGATGTGGTCATAGGCTTCCCCCTGCCCTGCATTAAAATGCAGGGTATTGGGCAGAGGCTTCTTGAGCCCTTTTTCTGGCCCTGAGTTAAGATTATTTGCTGACTGACCAGTGTAATTATGATAGATATTATTGTGCTTCTTGTTTCTGGCATTTATAAGTTTTTCTTGTTGCTTCCTATATTTTCTTTTTTTTTTTTGAGTTGGAGTCTCACTGTGTCGCCCAGACTAGAGTGCAGTGGCTGCTCCTGGCCACCACAGCCTCGACTTGCTGGGCTCCGGCGATCCTTCCGCCTCAGCCTTCCAAGTAACTGGAACTACAGGTGCGCGCTACCACACCCGGCTAATTTTTGGATTTATTGTAGAGATGAGGTCTCGCCTGCCCAGGAGGGTCTCGAACCCGTGGGCTCAGGCAATCCACTCACCTCAGCCTCCCAAAGGCGCAGGATTACAGGCTGAGCCACCGAGCCCAGCTTCTTTTTTTTGAGTTGGAATGTCACTCTTGCCCAAGCTGGAGTGCAGTGGCACGGTCATGGCCACCGCAGCCTCTACCTGCAGGGCTCAGGCAATCCTTCTGCCTCAGCCTTCTAAGTATCTGGAACCACAGGCGTGTGCCACCACACCCAGCTAATTTTTTGATTTACTGTAGAGAAGAGGTCTTGCCAAGTTACCCCGGCTGATCTCAAACCTGGGCTCAGGCTATCCTCTCACCTCCGCCTCCCAAAGTGCTGGGATTATAGGCGTGAGCCACTGCGCCAGCTTATGCTTTTTTATTGTTTCCTCAGGGAAGATGTTTTATTCAGCTTTGTATGAATGCTTAGAAGTCAGCATGGTGTCCTTAGCCTGGCCCTCACACTTTCCTTCTCATGCTTACAAGCAGCTTCCCAAAGAGTGACAGGTGGCAAAGTTGATTTGCAGGGTCAGCTGGAGGCCTAATGGAGGGGCTATTGCTTTTCAGCTTATATTGATGCAGTTAGAAGAAACAAATACCCAGAAGACAGAACTCCTGAGAGTCCTGACCCATGTGGTTGTTGTAATTGCATGAAGGCACAAAAGGAAAAGAAGCCTGAGAATGAGCGGAATCAGACCCGGCAGGGCGAGGGGAGCTCCGCTTACAGTGAGGAACAGCTGCTTGGGGTTCAAAGGTGAGCATGTGGTGGGGTTAAATGTAACGTGCTTAGAAGGTTAGAGCGGATGTGCTATGTAAGTATTGACTGCTGCTTTTTGATTTATTGTAGAGATGAGGTCTCGCCAAGTTGCCCAGGTGGGTCTCGAACCCGCGGGCTCAGCAATCCACTCACTTCAGGCTCCCAAAGCACTGGGATTACAGGCTGAGCCACTGAGCCCGGCTAATAACTCTTAATAAGCAATAGATACCAGAAGAAATCACAAGGAAAATTAGAAAATGCTTTGAGCAGCAATCCCCTTGGGTCCCCTCCCACTGTGGAAGCTTTTCTGTCCTCTTAATCAATCCTGCTTTCATTAAATAAGTAAATAAAATAAAGCTTTGAGATGAATGCAAATAAAAACACAACATACCAAAACATTTGGGATGCCGCTAAAGCTGTGTTTAGAAGGAAATTTATAGATATAAATGCTTCCTTTAAAAAAAAGATTGGCTTCGGGACCTGCCTGAGCAACTTGGCGAGACCTCATCTCTACAATAAATCAAAAAAATTAGCGATATCCCCTCTTCCAATCCTGAATTTAGTTATTTGAATCTTCTTTCTGGTTTTTTTGGGGGGTATTTTTGAGTTGGAGTCTCACTCTGTCACCCAGACTGGAGTGCAGTGGCCACTCCCGGCCACCGCAGCCTCGATCTGCTGGGTC